TGAATGAAAAAAACCACGTTAATCAAGCGACCACTGGCAAACTTGAAAAACAATGAAATTACTCGACAATATCAGATTGCCTCGAACAATACTTTACCAGACGGTAGATTCACAAACGAAAATAGCTGCGGACGTACGAAGACTTGACAAAAATGAAGGTTGATGTGCACACCACGAAGACACCGTAGAGAGCGAGACGGTGCCGATGACATTTACTACGAAGGCTCTGGCCGCCGGACACCAAAATGAAGATAAAATGCCTCAGTGTCACCACACAAAATTGAAAAACACTCGAAATTAATGAACTTTGTTACACTGAGAGCATGACTTGAAACTTATACGAAATATAACCAACAAATTCGAAAACATGGAATAACGAATACATTAACGTGCGATGATAACAGCGCGATTACGTACCCAGACTGTTGCACACGGAGGCTTATCGCGGCCGACGGCAATGGCCACGGATACGCACCGCACGAAAATGATAACATGACAATAAGTGTTCGCAACGTGAACATAAAGTATATGTAGCATATTTTAAAAATTTACGTTGTACTCTTTCAATTTGATCACTTCCACAAGAGGTGTAAGGATCCCATACAATAGCTCCATATTCCAAATTAGACCTTACGTAAGCACAATATAAGGTTTTTATGGGAGAATTTAACATGAACTCATTAAAATTCTAATAATAAATCCAAGCATTTTAAAGGCCTTGCAGCATATATTGTCCAAATGGTAATGAAAATTTAACTCGCGGTCAAACGTGATACCTAAATCCAAAACTTTATTTTCAGCTCGAATTAAAGGATTAGCATTGATTAAGTTCGTTAAAACGACATTGAGTGACATTTCGAGAAATTGAGTTCAAGATGATGTAAATTTGCCCAAGTAACTAAAGAGTTGATATCATTTTGTAGTAGATAACAGTCGTTAAGAGAATCATTTTTTAAAAATAATTTTAGATCATCTGCAACTAGAAAATAAATGATAGTTACTAATAACTTTTTTAATATTGTTAATAAATAATTCAAAAATTAAAGGAGAGAGATGACTTCCTTGAGAAACACCAGAAATTGCATCAATAATAACAGACTTAATACCGTGAACATGAACAGTTTGCTTACGATCTCAAAGATACGACTGAAACCAAGACAACAATGGTTCACCAAACCCAGAATTAAGCAAAACATCCATTAGTAATGTATGATCAACGCGATCAAAAGCTTTGGAAAAATCCATATATATAACATCAACGTGAAAACGATTGTTAAATGCATCCAATACATAACTAATAAAGATAATGTTACAAGTGTTAGTTGACCGGTCAGGACAGAAACCGTGCTGTTCATCTATTAGAATTGAATTAACTGCCGATCCAATTGATTTCAAGACTAATGAATCAAATTATTTAGCAATATGCCTTAATAAGGAGATTGGACGATAGTTGGAAACATTAGACTTATCCCCCGATTTATAAATAGGTTTAACAATGCTAAGTTTTAAAATTAGGATTCCTTTATAGTTAGGATTCCTTTATCTAAGGATTTACGAAATAAAAGTAATAATGGGTAGGATATTACAGATTGTAGCTTATACAAAAATTCACTAGAAAGTCCATCAGGACCAATTGACTTGTCACCGCTTAATTTAGATAAACTAGATTCAATAAGTGATATATCAAAAAAGCAATTACTAAGTAAATCATGAAATAAATGTGTGGTAGTTGAATTATTATTAACACTGTGTTCAGTGTAAACAGAACTAAACTGTTTAGCAAATAAATCTGAAACTTCTTTATCATTAGAACTAATTACACCATTAAAATGAACTGTTTTAGGTATGTCATTGCTTGATTTATTTTTCTTTATAAATATGCAAACTATTATGGGATTAGCACAAAGTTGAGATTCGGTACGTTCAATAAACTTTTTAAAACAGTTCTTAGATATCAGTTTATACTTAGAACGAAGGAACAACGTCAGTTCAATTTAAATTGTTCTGTTCTATTTGTTTCTAATTTCTCAATGAACGGCTCATTGATTCCCGCGTACAATTGTAATCGTGAACTCCTGCAGAGTGTTAATACCGTGCAGACGTTGCGAGCGATGCGCGATGACAACTTTCCCGGCGGCCGGCGCTCGGACTCGGACAAACGGGTTGAAACGGCTCGCACCCCGCCACTGGTGCTCGGAACTCGCGTGAGATTCGACCAATAAGTGTGATGTTATTCGACGCACCGGCCGGTATGCAAAGAAAACCTCGGCGCGGAAGAATCAAACGAATCGATACACGCTTGAAACGTGTATATGAATATATACAGGGCCGGTCCAAGCAAAAATAGTGCACCTAGGCAAAATCAAATTTTGACGCCTCAAAAAAAAATTGAGCTCTTATCTTAACTTAGTCCCTCCCCCTATATTTTATGTGACATATTTATAAAAAAAAAAAATTTAGTTTAAAATTATATGTAAAAAAACTTGAAGTGATTTCTGTAATAATTACTCAAAACCCATAACTATCGCAACTATCATAAATCGCGGATGTGGACGAATGCACCAAAAAATGACGAACTAGTAAAAAATATGTGGTAAAAAAAGTGTTACTTTAAATTACTTTATATTATCTGATATATACCTCGGTTATGGTTGTAAATGTCTATAACCGTAGCATACTCATGGAAGATAATACCACTATTCATTCCACAACCAAAAATGTTATCATATAAGAAGATGAACAAAAATTGATATATTATTGAATTTATTATCATATTATAATGATAGACTAGTTAATTTATATTCTTAATTATTTATGTATTATATTTTTTAAATAAATCGATGTATTATATTTAAAAAAAATACGAGCCATGGGGGAGGGGAATGCCAACTTCACACCCTCAAATATGCCCTTGAGAGCGTATAATTTTTTCCGTACATAATCTATTATTGACTACCAGTTTGATGTTATTAACTTTGGTACCGATAATACGTTTAATACTCAATTGCTACGGTTGTAGACGAACCGTGAGAAAGGTTATTCGAATGTTGGCCTATGATAAAGCGTAACGTTAACGTTTCTCGCGGGTGCAAAAGTTCCGCCATGGAGGTGCACTGGACCGCAAATCGTAGCCTCTCCATACCAGGAGCATCATTTCAATATTCAATATATTAGGATAGGACATAATAATGACCGCCCCTTAAAAACAACACTATCCTTCGTCCCCCCCTCCTAAGACTCCATAGGTTTTACTTTTTTACAATTTATATTAAACAAACGGTATTCGTTTTTTCTTAACATATTACTTATTATTACAAAATAGGCAACAGTATAATATTGTTATCTATCTCTGATCTCAGTGTTTGGAATGGTTATATTCATAGGTATTAATTGTTATATTATATCTCGGCTCGTGACCCGTGATTCAAGACATTTCATGATAACCTGTTATGCCCATTTAGGCCCGGCAGCTGACCCGTTGCCACTTTAAAATCTAGGGTTAGGCAAATGCATACTCTTGCCCCTCCCCCAAATGACGTTCCTGCTCCATGCGCGGTAATAACACGACGACAACGGAAATCATTACCCGTTTGTTCGGGATAGGTATGGGCGTTGAATTTATCTAGATCAATGTTTCTCAAACCTTTTTGTCCGCGGAGCCCTTATGTTTTCAAAAAATGTATGGCGTCTCAAAAATCAGGAATTTATATTCAAGACAACAATAATTATTAATATTTCATATTGAGAAAACACAGTTCAAAATTTCATTTTTTTAAAGTTCATATTTTGTCATTTGCTGTGAAAACTTTAGACATTTTACGTTGTATTGATAAATTTACTTCATTTAATTTTATGAAAATACCAGCCAAGTTATGAAGTCATAATAACCAAATTTTATTTTAGTCTATCTTAGTTGTAAATAAAATTGGTGACACTACAACGTATAACTCGTTTCGTAATTTAGGTAATCATACCAGTGTTTTTCCTCAATAACTAAGAAATATAATAATATTTCAATTTAGATAATTAATATATGCCCACGGAGCCTCTAGACTTTTCCCGCGAAGTCCTATTTCTTATCCAAGATAATTATTTAGATAACATATAACTATTTATTTATGTAAGATAAAAGCTACTAAATTATTATCTAGATAAATGTATGTAAATCAAGTCCCAACACTGGGAACAAATAACAGTAGAACACTAAGGCTACGTTCAGACGGTGACTGTTCAATTCGTTTTTTTCACGTATAGAATTTTATCGAATACGAGACAGCAATTCACACAGGTACAATATTCGATTAGTTTTTTTCAGGTACGAGTTTTGATGCATAGACATAGCACTGTCGGCAGTCAATACACAATTGTTATCATAGATTCACGTGTTCCACTCATATTCTATTGGTATAGAAATGTTTATAAGAAACGTTTGGTACATCGAAAATTCTGGGTACATCCTCTTTTAGAGAATGGTCCATGACGTGAAAAACTTTTTGAAAAATTTTACTTAAACCTGACTGAAAACAGAAATTTTATATTTATTTTCGTATGTCAATGGCTAACCTGGCTAACAGCTGACCCACAGTTAATATTTGTTTACAAAATTGGTCTTTTAGAAATTTTTTTCTCTTTTTAGACCTTGATTTGGGCTCCTGGACAGTTGGCCCATCGGAGTTACTTGAAAAATGAATGCCATGTATATTCAAAATTTAAAATTTTTCAATTCATAATTTATATTTTAAATCATATCATTTAGTAGAAAGTTAAGTAAATCATATTTTATTCCGTACGTTTGTTACGCTGATAAAATTAGATTATATTTATTAATCGTAAATATTTCATTATCGGTGGTATAACTAATTCTAAAATGTAATATAAATATACTTATACACTTTTATGAGCATATTGTATTTTTTTTTTTACAGGGTATTCATTTCTAATTCAATTTCATCCCTAACAAATGGCCTCTTGAAATTGCTTGACCTACAGTTCCCCGACTATGGATCCGCCCCTGTACAGCTCATTTTTTTTTCTAATTCCGTTCGTCCATCGGGTTCAGCAACAATACATATCAACAAAATGTAATCGAAATCGGCAGCAAAGTCACGAAATTTTTGTCGGTAGACTTTGTATGATGCTGGATGGACCTAATTGCAAACAGCGCAAGTTGCTGGGTAATTTATGTCTTTTTAACATTCGTTTGATAGGTGGATATAACCTCATTTTACACATTTGGGCGTATAATGACAATAAGTACTCGTATAGCCGTGGTTTTGACATCTTAAACATTGAACTGGGGTTTTTTTTCGAATGTGACACATCGACATTATTATTGGTATAGCATATTTAATCAACTATATAAATATTTTACTTTGATGGTAAGGGCTCCAGGTCCACAAAAAATAGTTGAAGTGGATTTTTAGTTTTGTATTGGAGACAATTTGTAATTCAACGAGTGGTGAAATCAAGAGTATGAATTTGTTCTTTCAAGTAAGTGGTTGGTGTGGTATAAAGGAGGTGGCGAATCACTACTAGGAAAGCTTTTTCCACATTTTATTGGAAAGTATAAAAGTTCATATTATTTGTTTCTAGTAGCTTTATAGTTTATCTGTATGCATTTATTGAAATACGTCATCAATTTTAAACCAAGCGAAGAGCCTTTAGTGTTAAACTTTTCAGGTTCACTTAGAAGCTTTATTTTTTTTTGCAAAATTCTAAATAGTCAAAATTATCTTTTATATGTATATAGGCGGTATTTTGGTTGGAACGTTGGTGTTTTCTTGGGATTGCATTTCAATTTCATTTACGTTGGTTTTTTTGTTTTTGGTGAGGACGAGAAACGATTCTGACTTGGAAGAAAATTTGTTTTTTTAAATTTTTGGTTTAGGTGAATAAAGTGAATTCATCGGTACTGTTTGCCAATTATTTGGGCTGACGTTGTTTTTAATTATTTTTATTGGAGAAACTGATATGTTATTTTTTGAAGATTGTTGATGGTTGGGAGATAGTGTTGTAGGTTTGTTAATTGAACTCATTGTTCAAAGTCCAACTTTTTGATTTGAAAATTTATATCGGTGTGCAAATTAAACAAATAAATAATCATATTAACTACGTGATTAACAACGATTCTCAGGTTACCGAGTCAGAGACTTTTAAACATAATTGTTTAAAGTTCTAGAAAATTAAGATATTATTACGTAAAATAATACTGCTCTTAGACTTATTTCCTATCAAAAACTTAAACATTTAATTTTTTTCGACTCCCCATCCTCCAAACTAAGGTGTGGCCGTCACCACACCTTTTGTATGGGTTCGGCGCCACTGGTCGAGACATTATGGTTAGTTAAAAATTACTACGGAGAATAATACCAAAATTAACACAAATAATTGAATTATCCTCTTTTTTTTCCTTTAGAGTTAATCAATTTACTTACACATTTACATTGTATTACACAAATATCCCATGAAAAGAAAAACGAACCTTGTTTATGGAGAGCTCGTGTTTTTAAAACCATCGACATTTGTAACAGCACAAACATTTGTAAATATTATTTTAGTCGTATGATTTTCTACCGAAACAGATATCTGAATAATAATACATTACTCTATTTAATCTTAATCGTTTTCTAGAAAAGGTCAAATTAATTAAAATCCATGTGGTGCATACTGATCTGAACAAAAAAACTTGGTATCTGTAAGAGGTAAAACATTTTTAGGAAGAACTAAATGACGGAGTTTGATAGGTACATCCAGTCCGAAAGAATAACATTTTATTTATTATTATTAAACTAATAAATCTGATTTCAAGTTACGTATTTTTTCTACACTGGCCATTTACGATATGAATTACGTATTTTAAACGTTACCCAGCAAATATATTGCAAATTAGTTATAACTGTTGAATAAATTGTTTCAATAACATTCGACATTGCCTTGCGTAACAACGATTTCTTGTCCTAATTTTACGTCTAGGTATCTCAAGTGTTAACTCATCGATAATATCATCATCATCAACTAATATCAACAAAATGGGATTGACTACCAGGTAAACGAAACTATACGACATTATCGTAACACGTCGTGCGGTTCAACAATAACGCGCCGCCGCGCGTGAGATGCATGATGTTTATGTATTTTTTCAGTTCCGATCGCCGTAGTGCTCCTGCTCAAGAGTTGAACAGGAGCGACGAGCGATTACATTTGATGGCATTTTGTTTCATCTGTGGATGGCCACAGTTCCTGGTCTGGCTGACAAAAGACCAAGGTGAGTACGGTTAAGGTTCTATTTTCGCTACGACAACTTTCGATCTCCGTTCGGGTTTTCTTAACGTATTTCACTCGTACTTTTCCCGTATTAGCCCGTAGAGGTTTTGCGCATCATGGTTGCTGTGCCAGACCGACAGAACCGCGAGACAACCCAATGTCTCATGATAACGTCGGTGGTCGATCGGCTCCCAGTCCCGCAGCCTTTACGGATTGCGGTTCGCAAACGAACCCCGTGTCCGTCACCATTCCAGCGGCAAACCACGACTTCGCGTGCGGAAACTCCTGCGTTACGTTCGTTGACGTGTTCACCCAAACTTACCCGTCCGCCGGGGAAGTCGCATCCCACGTCAACGAATCTAATGAGGAGACGCATTCCGCATCGATACATTTAGACGACGAAGACGAAATCGTTCCGTACGTTCTTCCTAAAATGGAAGAAAATCGTGCAAAAGTGAGTGCAAAACTACATTACCAATAATTATTTACGGTCATGTTCAACGCAAATGGGCCATTTGCCCCCTTCCGGATTCTGCATATTTTTCACGTACGCGATACGACTCGTTTTAGTACGCAGTGTAGTTGTAGAACATTAACATTTACGCTTTTCATTTGTCGGGACCTAAGTTTGTTTCCCACAATCGCACACATGAATATTTGAGTGGATTTGAAAAAAAAAACGTTATCATTTCAATACCTTGTGAACTTGAGGGCAGTAAAATAATTTGCCGCTGACCGTTTGCAACAGTCGATTACGATAAAACGGTCGCTAATAGTGTAACATCAAATGAACAAATACATATAACACGATACTAATCAACAGGATGTTACCTAATATATACATAATTATATGCATGAACTCTCCAATGTTTACTAATTACGACATACTATTCCCAGGAATTGAACGTTACCTACAAATTGTGGGAAAATCGGTTTTCACAATTTTCAAAATTTAACGACGGTATCATAGCAGACCCAGGTATGTTAGACAGACGAACGTCATTAGTTATAGTATCGACTCCGTTTGTGTTTTCATAATTGTACGATGTTTACAGTGACTCTTTACTCCGGGCCTCCAGAAGTTTTGGCAAAACTTATGGCTTCCCGGTGTAAGTCGCTGGGTACTGTGATAGACCCGTTTTGCGGTTCCGGTGCGATCGCGATCCAATTGGCCATGGTTTGCCGCAAAGGTATATTGCTCACATCATAAAAATACAATTATTGTCATATTATTTAACATGGTATGGCTCTGTCAAACTGAAAACGTTATTAACGTTGCGACAATTACTTTCGCGTAATATTCAATTCCAAGTCATATTGGATGCGAAATAATAATGTTGTAGGCGTAATTAACGCGGCACTAGAACATGACGTACAAAATCACAAAATCATGCGTGGTAGTGCGTTATTTTTGGCGTTCAAATAATGGCGAAAGAAGGAATACTTACGAATACTTACTTATACAAGTATAAATAAATGTTAATAATAAATAATTCGCTTCCTCTTTTGTTGACTTTCGGTTAATGCGCATAATAGTAAAAGTTTTTCTTCGTCTGAACTAGCGTACGTATTTTTAATACAAACCATACCTCGAAAACGTACGAACAATACGACAAAATATAATATAAAGAAACAATAATATAACGAACAATATCAACTAGGTAATAAGAACCATTCTAAAATACGACGCTTCTTGGTTTCTGTGTCACGTGGATAACATCCGCGATAGCATTAAAAACGCGACGTTAATAACGCGCTCTGTTTGACGAGGCCTTTAATATTGTATTATATCGTAATGTATACTAACATTGGACTCGTAACGGTTCGCGTTCTTTGTATAGTCATTGCGATGGACAGTGACCCAGTCAAAATCGCGTTCGCCCGGAACAACGCTTGTATCTATGGGGTTGAGGACCGAATCATCTTCCTGGTGGGTGACTTCTTTGAAAATGCACACTCGCTGCAGAAGGCAGACGGCATCGTCACGTCACCACCAGCCAACATGACGAAAGATAAAATGCAGAATTTAACCGATTTGGCTAGTAGGGTGGCGCCAAAAGTTTTATTAAGGTTAATGAAGGACCAAGAAGTGGCAGATGTAAGTCCATATATCGTATTATGAGAACATCAATATCCGTATGTTTTTTTTTTTTTTTTTTACAGCTGTACCAATTAGAAAATATTAAATATTATATTAAAACAGAGAAGATATGTATCGACAGGGAGCCGAATTCTATTTTGGCTTTTCTTGGTCCCGGAGTACGTATTTTTTGATATCATTAAACGTTTACAATAATTAAACATAACTATAATCATCCGTCCATTATCCAATTCACACTTGTAAGTTTATTTTGTATGTTAATAATGTGTTTTAGATTAATACGAATAACAGAAACGTAGAGAGAACACAGAAGAAAGTGCTCGTGTTTTCTGATGGTAAGTTGTAAGAAGTGTACGATGTATATAGATAACATGTGTTTTATGGAAGATCTTGATACCAATTATAACAATATTTTTGATTTCCATAGGGGTATCTGTTAATCGTCGTGTGCATTGGGTAAGAGGTAATAATCTTTTTGCATACGACGATTATCTCAAAAACGTCGAAGAATTCGTGAAGAACAATAGTCTCAACTGATAGACGATTCCTCAACAAAACCGAAAGAATATAATACAATTGATATCTGATAGTAAATACTATTTATAAATTATAATCAATGATAAATTGTATAGATAAGGACATAGAATCGACGCAAAATTTGACTCATAATACAATATTTTTATTTTATATAATTTTTTTATTTATAGCCTATATTCTACAGTGACTTGAACAGATCACAATTAGATTAATATAATATTTACTTGGCCAATTGCATATATGTGTTTTTTATCATTAAATAATAATACTATAGCTTATGTGAACCGGTTGTAAAATAATTAATTAAAATACATTATTTTTAGATTTAACGCTAAATAACAACAACAACAACTACAACTATAGGGGTTTCCTGAAAAAATTATGTGGAAGCTGATAACGGATGTGTTAAAATAAAATGGAGATGTATAGTTATCCCCTTTTCTACTATGTCTATTAAAAAAACCATCAAACTAATTTTGTTTTATCGATCATTCGTGCAACATTATTCGAAAATATTCAAGTCAGATCAAATGCTTCTTTTGAAAGCAAACCACTTCTCAAATATAATGGTATTTTTAGGGTTAGTATTAATATTATTGAATTCATATTATAAAATAAAATTTATCTGTTTTACTGTTTTATAGATTCGATAAAATACATCATAATGACGAATTTAACACTAGCTCACCGAAACATGAAATACATAATCAACGATATTGAAAATGACTTAAAATATTATATAAATATTTAATTTCTTAAGCTTTTTTCTATATTTATTTCATTACAATTATTTATTATATTACTTATTTCATTGTTATTTTTTTTGCAAAATATAATATTACTATATTATTGTATATTTCTATTTTTTGATTTCTTATTTATATTTTGTATTTTTATACATTGCATACATGATAAAATGCATAGTTAATAATGTAGGTAACATATTTAAGATTAAGGAAAACTGATATGATGATGAATTTACAAAACTATAAAATATAATAACTTTAATGGGTATCTCTGAAAAAAAAAACAACATCAACTATACAATCATCCTTGCTAAACCTAGATATATAATATAATATAATAAAACCTAAATATTTGTGAGGGGTATTACCAGTGGGTGACTTCCCCTATCATGTGAATCATGTTATGTTCATTCAAACTATTAGCATAATGACTTATTGTGCAGATTATGTGTATAGATTGTCTTTTTCTTAATAAAAAAAAAAAAAAAAAAAAATGGGTATAATTTTTTTTTATAAGAAAAAAATTCACAGAATATTTAAGACAAAGTGCAACTGAATAAGTTCATATGTCTTTGTTTTCAATTACATACAAATATTTATAAGATTCAATTAAAATACAATGAATTTCGACTAACGTAGACATCAGTTAATGTGAGTAACAGGATTCTCAAAATGCTTCTTTGATACAAAAATAGTATTTTTAAAGTTAAACAAATAAAAGTTTCGCTGTATTACCAATTTTAAATTTACTGAAATGCATTAATGAAATTATATTATAACACTGGCTAGATTGAAAATGTTTTTATATTACTTTTTTTTTTAACTGACTTATCAATCAATACACGTATACACTGAAAATGTAGTTTAAATAATAAATATATATATTATATTATTTAATTTAATTTTAATTTAATTTAATTCATAAAATTATGAATTGTTGTATAGGAAAATTTGTGATATTAGTCAAGGCCGTCTACATAATACATAGGGAAAACTGGATACTTTGGAAATTTATACTAATAAGTATTCCATTCCTATAATAGAATAATATAAAATAATGTATATGATGCGACCAGAAGTATAAAATTATGAAATGCTTTTCGTTTTTAATAAACACGTCATTATGAAATAATTTTTTT